GGTGGAATAGGGAGGGTGGGAGGGAGGGAGATGCAAGAGGGAAGAGATATGGGAACATGTTTATATATATAACTGATTCACTTTGTTATAAAGCAGAAACTAACACACCATTGTAAAGCAATTATACTCCAATAAAGATGTTAAAAAAAAAATGACCAGGGAATTCCTTGGTGGCCCAGTGGTTAGTGTTCTCGCTGTTGAGGGCCTGGGTTCAATCCCTGGTCAGGGAACTAAGATCCCAACAGCCATGAGGCACAGCCAAAAAAAAGAAAACAAATCACCAAGTATGCAAAGAAGCAAGAAAATACAACCCATGATGAGGAGAAAAATCAATCAACGATACAAAACCAGAAATGTCACAAATGATAGAATAGTAGACAAGGACATAAAGTTATTATAAATGTATTCCATATGTTCAAGAGGCTAAAGATTAAAGATGATAATTAAAGACATGGAAAATATTAAAATAATACAAATTAATTTCTAAGATGAAAACTACAAAGTCTTTTACAAAGAATACATTGCCTGGAATTCACAATAGGTTAGAGGCTAAAGAGGAGAAGAATAATGAAAGTAATGACATAGCAGTAGAAAGTAACACAGAAAGAAATGAAACACGGAAAGAAAAAAAGACTGATAGGAAAAATGAGCACAGCATCACTGAGCTTTGGTTTCAAGAGGCATGTAATTGGAGTTCCTGAGGAAGAGAAGAGAGAGGGGAGTATAGAAAAAAATATTTAAAGAAATAATGTGAAAAAAAATTTCCAAATCTGATGAAAACCATAAATACACAGATTCAAGGAACTTGCAAACGCCAAGCACATGATATGAAGGAAACTACACAAATGCACATCATAATCAAATTTCTAAAGCCAGTGATAAAGGGAATATCTTAAAAGCAGACATGGGAAAAAAAATACATTACATACAGAAAAACACAAATAAGAATGACAGGAAAAAAAATGATAGCAGTCATTCTTACAGTGCAGACCTATATTACAATGGACCAACCTCCAAAGAAAGACTGTCAACCTAGAATTCTATAGCTGGTGAAGATATAGTCCAAAAATGAAGACGAAATACAGACTCTCGCAAACATACAAATAATAAAATAATTCGTAACCAGCAGGATTGCACTACAAGAAATATTAAAGGAAATGCCTTAGGTGGAAAGAAAATCACATCAGATGGAAATCCACATCTACACAGAGAAATAAAGAGCAACAGAAATGGTAAAAATGTGAGTGAATACTGAAAACATTTTTCGTACTTTTAAAATTTCTTTGAAAGCTTTGTGACTGTTTGAACCAAAATAATAACATCGTATCATAGAGTTTATAATATATAAACAAATAAAATATATAACAACACCACCATGGCTAGGAGGGGTAAATGGAATGATACTGCTGTAAGTTCTTATACTACATGTGAAGTAGGATAATATTACTTGAAGGTACATTGTCATATGATGTATATTATAAATTCCAAACTGCTATAAAAGAAAAAATAATTATAGCTAATAAGATAACGTAGATAAAATGGAATAATAAAAGATATTTAATCCAAAAGAATGTAGAAAGAGGGAAAAGAAAGCAAACAAATAGATGGAACGGATAGAAAACAACTAGCAAGATGGTAGATTTAAATGCAGCCATATCAATAATCACATGAAGTGTAAATAGCTCAAGCACCCCAATTAAAAGGTAAAGATTACCAGATTGCATAAAAAGGCAAGGCCCAATTATATGCTGCCTACAAGAAACATGATTTAAATACAAAGACACATAGGTTAAAAGTAAAAGGAAGGAAATCATATGCCATGCTAACACTAATCAAAAGAAAGCTGGGGTCATTATATTCATATCAGACAAAACAGATTTCCAAGCAAAAATGTATTACCGTGGATAAAAGGAGTCACTTCCTAATATTAAAGTGGTCAGTGCATAAGAGGATATAACAATAAAAATATTTGTGCATCTAATAACAAATCTTCAAAACACATGAAACCAAACCTGATAAAACTACAAGAAGCATTTAAATCCACCATTTAGTTGGAGATGTCACCACTATTTTAACAATAATTGATAGAGGGGCTTCCCTGGTGGTACAGTGGTTAAGAATCTGCCTGCCAAAGCAAGGTACACAGGTTCAAGCCCTGGTCCGGGAAGATCCCACATGCCGCGGAGCAACTAAGCCTGTGCGACACAACTACTGAGCCTGCGCTCTAGAGCCTGCGAGCCACAACTACTGAAGCCCGCATGCCTAGAGACCATGCTCTGCAACAAGAGAAGTCACCGCAATGAGGAACCCACGCACCACAACGAAGAGTAGCCTCCGCTGGCCACAACTAGAGAAAGCCTGCGTAGCAACGAAGACGCGACGCAGCCAAAAATAAATAAATAAAATAAAATAATTAAATAAAATAATTGATAGAATGAGTAGATAGAAAATTATGAAGAATAAAAGACTCAAATGAAATCCCAGCAGGGTTTTTTGGTTTTTTTTTTAAGAAATTGATAAGCTGATTTTAAATTCTACATGGAAATGCAAAGACTTAGAACAGCCAGAACAACTGTGGGGAAAAAAAAAAGATTAGAGGACTTATACTACCTGATTGCAAAACTGTGAAGCTTTAAAAAAAACATGAAGCTTATAAAAGCTACAGTAATCAAGACAGTGTGGTACTGGTGTAGAGAAAATAAAATTGACCAATAAAGATTCCAGAAATAGATCCACAAATATACAATCAACTGATTTGGACAATGGTGCTAAGGCAATTCAATGGGAAGAAAATAATCTTTTCAACAGATATTGCTGAAATAACTGGAGAGCCATATGCAAAATAATAATAACTTAGACCCTTAATCCACACAATATAGAAATAATTAATTTGAAATGGATCATAGATTGAAATATAAGAGCTAATGCTATAACATGTCTAGAAAAAAAAAAAAGGGAGAATATCTGAATGAACTTGGATTTGGCAAAGATGTCAAATATGATGCAAAAATAGCAAATAAGCACATGAAAAGGTGCTCAACAGTATAAGGGAAGTGCAAATTAAGACCACTATACACCTACTATGAAATACCACCATGGTACAAAACACCACTATGCACCAATGAGAAAGGCTAAAATTAAAAACACTGACCATACCACGAACTGGTTACAGTGTGGAGCAGCTGAAACTCTGGACTACTGCAGATGGGAATGTAAAATGGTACAACCATTTTGGAAAACAGTTGGCAATTTCTTTAAAAATTAAACAAACACCTATCAGATGACCTAATCATTCAAACCCTGGGTATTTATCCAAGAGAAATGAAAGTGTATGTCCACAAAAACACTTAACAAGGAGGTTCATAGAAGGTTTCAATGGTGAAGGTATAAATAAGTTGGAATAAACTGATACATGCATCAATATGGATAAATCTCAGAATAATTATGCTGAGTGAAAGAAACCAGACAAAAATGAGTATGATTCCATTGATCTAAAATTGTGGACAACACAAACGATAGTGACAGAAAGCCGATCAGTGATGGTCTGGAGATGAGGAAGGGGCAGGAGGGAGGTATTACAGAGGGGTATGAGGAAATTTAGGGGTGATGAATATGTTCATTATTTTGATCACGGTGATGGTTTCACAGGTGTTTGCACATGCAAAATTTATCACATTGCTCATTTTACAGACATGCAGTTTAGTGTATGTCATTATACCTCAACAAAGCTCTTAAAAAAAGCGATTCTCTGACAACATAAGTTACTCCATGATCTCCAAATATTTGAGAATGTTCTTTCCAAAACACTTAAATAATATACACTGTAGCCTCACAACAAAAGCCAAACTGCATAGCAGAGCACTGGCAATACTGTCTGGGGAAAACGTGGTTTTTACCTGTCGGTTCCTCCTCAGTGACAATGATCTGTCCAGTCCAGGGTGCTGAAGGGCGACCTGACAGAGATAAATACAAAAATCAGAAACATTCACAAATGCAGTTCAGCTGCACTGAGAAATTGGTAAACTGGCCAGATTAGTCCCAAATGGGTTTGTTACTAGTTTACTTATGTACCTTCTTAGTGAGTCTTACCAAGCATGCACATGGTATTTTGGGGAGAGGGGGCATCGTCTCTGTTCTCAAACAACTCACAATCTGCTAGATTCCACGTTTCCGGAACTGTACTGACACAGGCGAGGTAAACAGCCTGTGTTCATACACTGTTCCCCATGTATCTCCTGAAACACATAGGCTCTCTCACCCTTCTTGAGAGATAGCATTTAATTGGGAGAAACCTTTCAGGAACAATTGTAAGCCAGGCTGTTATTTATGTAATAATGAAGATGAAAGGGGAGAGGGGCGCTGATTCTGCAGTAAAGCTCAACGAAAGAGATTTCTTTCCATTAATTTTGAAAGTGTTATTTACAAAGGAAAGCAGTTTAGATCCCGAGTAAGGAAAATGAGTGAGACAGGCAGTATAAAGTTAAAGAGGAAATTCATTTCTGTGATATCAGAAAGACATCAGAAAGAGAGAATGATTCAACTCCTGCTTCAAGTGAGGGACTTTTCACCAGAGTGTGTGCAAAACCAGAAAGGTAACAAGCAAGATAATTGATTTTCAATCCCAACAAATCTTACTTTCATTGAAAGTTATTAAAGAGGAGTAAATGAAAGTATGAGATGGAATTAGGAAAGAGGGAGAGAAGTTGGACAGTGGGTGAAAAGTGATTGGAGAGTAATCAGGGAGCCTGATTAGAAAAGTCTCCAGAGAGAAGGTGACATTATTTTACTTAGATTTTTATGATGCCACTACATGTACTTAAGGTCAAGAATAACACTGAAAATGTTATAAATGGCATAGACCAGGAGTTCTCAACTAGGGTGATTTTGCCCCCCAGGGACATGTGATAATGTCTGGAGACAATTTTGATTGTCATGATGGGGGTTGGGGGGGAGGGGGGGAGAAGGGAGTGGGGGGACCATAGGCATCTAGCGAGTAGAGGCCAGGGATGCTGCTAAACATCCTACAATGCACAGGACAGCCCCCTACAACATAGAATTACCTGGCCTAAAATGTCAATAGGGCCAAGGTTGAGAAATCTGGTATAGACTGAAATGTGAAATTCCAACAATTCTGTTAATGCCACTTTAAGGTCCCTATTATTAAGGATGCTGTATTGGTTCCTATGAAACAAATGCAGAGCATAATTCATGTACCACAATTTTTTTTTTTAAAGAAGATGTTGGGGGTAGTTTATTAATTTATTTTATTTATTTTTGCTGTGTTGGGTCTTCGTTTCTGTGCGAGGGCTTTCGCTAGTTGTGGCAAGTGGGGGCCACTCTTCATCGTGGTGCGCGGGCCTCTCACTACCGTGGCCTCTCTTGTTGCAGAGCACAGGCTCCAGACGCGCAGGCTCAGTAGTTGTGGCTCACGGGCCTAGTTGCTCCACGGCATGTGGGATCTTCCCAGACCAGGGCTCAAACCCGTGTCCCCTGCATTAGCAGGCAGATTCTCAACCACTGCGCCACCAGGGAAGCCCCATGTACCACAATTTTGACATTGAGACTTGGAGGCTAAATATATGAAAAGATTATTTTTGACTCTAACACAGAAACACGAGTACAGATCAGACACGATGTGTCGTAAATGTGTTTTTCCTTTGATATAAAGAAATTCACAGTGTTGAGTATTAATGCTCTAAGGGATAAATTCAAGATTAAGAAAACTACCTTACAATTTTAAGAAAATGAACCAGAAATAAAAGTATATTTGAACTGTGCTAATAAAATGAAAAAAAAAAAAAAAAAGCTCTCCAGCCTTTTGGTATTCATATTTCATTTCAAACACAATGCCTGTAACTCAGTCAAATTAGGCAAAGTTTTCTGGATCAAATAAAAATAACATAAAATAAAGCCCTTAGTGAACAGATGAGTCAAAAAACAAATACTTTTTTGTTTTTGTCTTTTTTTCCCCTGGATTTTTCTGATCAGTAAAGGATTTCTTATTCTCTTCTCCCTCTAGTGGAGAGTGGAGAAATCACCTTGCAATAGGATCTATTTCAGGCATATAAAAAAAATTCAAGATGATCCTGAAAAATGAAAAATACTTACTTTTAAGTCTAGCTTTCTCAGCTGGATCCAGAGCAGCCACAGGCTCGGAAACACGAGAGGGGAGACCTATTCCAGTTTTGTTCACAGCTCGAACTCGGAATATGTAAGAACGACCTTCTATCAATCCAGTGACTGGGAAACGAGCAAACTTCACAGGTGTGTCATTGCACTGAGACCAGCTGTCTGTGCCCACCTCACACCTAAGGGAGAGAGAGTGATGGACAAAACAGAAAAAAACAGAGCTGGATGAATCAGACTCCCTGACTCCAGACTATACCACAAAGCTACAGTAATCAAGATAATATGGTACTGGCACAAAAACAGAAATATAGATCAATGGAACAGGATAGAAAGCCCAGAGATAAACCCACGCACCTATGGTCAACTAATCTATGACAAAGGAGGCAAGGATACACAATGGAGAAAAGACAGTCTCTTCAATAAGTGGTGCTGGGAAAACTGGACAGCTACATGTAAAAGAATGAAATTAGAACACTCCCTAACACCATACACAAAAATAAACTCAAAATGGATTAAAGACCTAAATGTAAGACCGGACACTATAAAACTCTTAGAGGAAAACATAGGAAGAACACTCTTTGACATAAATCACAGTAAGATCTTTTTTGATCCAAAAATAAACAAATGGGACCTAATGAAAATTAAAAGCTTCTGCACAGCAAAGGAAACTACAAACAAGACAAAAAGACAGCCCTCAGAATGGGAGAAAATATTTGCAAATGAATCAACGGACAAAGGGTTAATCTCCAAAATCTATAAACAGCTCATGCAGCTCAATATTAAAAAAACGAACAACCCAATCCAAAAGTGGGCAGAAGACCTAAACAGACATTTCTCCAAAGAAGACATACAGATGGCTAAGAAGCACATGAAAAGCTGCTCAACATCACTAATTATTAGAGAAATGCACATCAAAACTACAATGAGGTATCACCTCACACCAGTTAGAATGGGCATCATCAGAAAATCTACAAACAACAAATGCTGGAGAGGGTGTGGAGAAAAGGGAACCCTCTTGCACTGTTGGTGGGAATGTAAATTGATACAGCCCCTATGGAGAACAGGATGGAGGTTCCTTAAAAAACTAAAAATAGAATTACCATATGACCCAGCAATCCCACTACTGGGCGTATACCCAGAGAAAACCATAATTCAGAAAGACACATGCACTCCAATGTTCACTGTAGCCCTATTTACAATAGCCAGGTCATGGAAGGAACCTAAATGCCCATCGACAGACGAATGAATAAAGAAGATGTGGTACATATATACATTGGAATATTACTCAGCCATAAAAAGGAACGAAATTGGGTCATTTGTAGAGACGTGGATGGATCTAGAGACTGTCATACAGAGTGAAGTAAGTCAGAAAGGGAAAAACAAATACCATATATTAACGCATATATGTGGAACCTAGAAAAATGGTACAGATGAACCAGTTTGCAGGGCATAAATAGAGACACAGATGCAGAGAACAAACATATGGACACCAAAGGGGGAAAATGGCGGGGTGGGTGGTGGTGTTGGGATGAATTGGGAGATTGGGATTGACATATATACACTAATATGTACAAAATAGAGAACTAATAAGAACCTGCTGTATAAAAAAATAAATAAAATAAAATTCAAAAAAAAAGAATCTTACTAGATTTGTAAAAAACGGTGCATTTACATAGAGGGATACTTTTACAAAGGTAGATAGTTATGTTTTTAATTAAAATACAGATGCATATTTTTAAAAAAAGAATATATCTAAAACTTCACAGTTCATCATTATTCAATGATGAAATAACGTGGAAACATTTAGTGTACAGTTATAAATAAAGTATAATCTATTATAAATATTTCTCTGGTTGGTACTGAGCCCAGTAGGCATATACTTACTTACTGCTATAAATATTAAGTTTAATCCACCTTGGTACAAACCTGTCATACTACAGTGGCATAGATTATCTGCCCCTAGTGGTTTACAGTCAGGGTTTATTACTCAAAAATGGAAGAGAATTGGAGCAACTATCTGAAAAGAAACTAAGTCAGACAATAATGTATTTAGGTCAATAATCTAAATTTGTTTCTAAATTGGCCAAGCTCACTGGATAATTCATATGTAAGACCCATTTACTATAAATATAAAGCCTCTAAGTTTTGGAGAATGTAAACAGCAACGATTTGTAGATAAAACAGTTTACTACTACGGATACTTATTTCTTTGTCAGACTTGAATCCTGTGATATAAATGAGATTTTCTTAGTATTCTTAGAGTACTATTCTTTAAATTACTTAATATTCTTAAATTACTGACATACTAATAATATGGACATTAAGCATATTGAATACCAGCTATTTCATCTCTAAAGTGGCCTCTATTAGGTGAACAAATTCATAATATTCTCGCCAAATTAGTGACTTGGGTTGGTAGTACAATTCAAGGATTATCTTTGGAATTTAGGTAAACAGGTAGGTATGTGTATATACACATATATATATACATACACACCAGACAGAGACAGAGACACAAAGAAAAGAGGGAGAGAACAGTAAAGAAAACACTTCACCTAGAAATGGTGGGAGAAATCAAGCATGTGTCTCTATGGCCAAATCACTCTAACTGAAGTTAGACTAAGTACTAACTTATCAATAAAATATCCCAGAATAGGACTCCCTCCATCCACAGCCGGCTGTTTCCAAGAGATGATGATATAATCTTTGTTGGCATCCAAGGACACCACATCCAAGGGAGAGGCTGGGGCTCCTTCAATCTCTGCATCAGCATCTGTGGGGATACAGAAGGATCCTGTTAACCCTCTCAGATGTGCTCTGTCAGCCCCAAAGGCCAAGGTCTTAGTGCAGACATTTCTTACCACACCACCGCAGTGGCTATATCTTTGGTCCCAGTCGAGCAATCTTCAATTTTGTAATTTGCTTACCAAAATAACAATGTGTGCTTTTCACCATCAGTACAAGGAACATTACGCTAGGAAGGGCTCTGAAAAGGACCCATGACCTCTGCCCCATGGCCCTTGCCTGCCCAAAATGTTCTAAAAGAAAATAAATAAGGACATGTTGAGGACTGCTATCAGAAAAGTCTGATGTAAGTTATGTCAGGAAGTCTGTTCTTAATATAATTATTGTGCAGTATTACTCGGAAACTATGAATGGCTCCAAAGGGGAACAAACAGCCCCTTCTGTTACCTTCTAGATACATCCACAAGAGAAGAAGGACCAAGAAGCTTTGCCCATCCCTATGCTGGGACCACCATTTTGGAAGAGAAACAAAAACATTCATTTTAATTAAATGTTTGTTCCCAAGCTGAAGATCCTTGTGAAAGTAACTCTGATGAAATAGCCACATCTGAGCTTAGTTTATCTGAGTTTAGTAAAAGTCCGAGACTATACAAGAAACAGAGTTCAGTGTCTGTTCATGAACTGGGATCCTCTGACAGTGGTCCCCTCAGCAGTGTATGCACAGATGAATTAGTAACACAGGGGTGTTTTTAGGAGGAAAGGAAGGGGAATGAAAATAACCCCATAGTAGCCTTTTAAGTGAAAATGATTAAGATAAGAGTCACAGTCCCAAGGGGAGGGGAACCACATTTGCCAATTCCACTTGACATCTGGTCAACCCTTTAACAACCGGAATTAGTAGGAGAGGAGGCTGAGACATGTAGGAGCCACTCACCCGGCGAAAACACTCTTGTTGACTGAAAAATAAACACTTTCTTTTCCTATGATCTACACTTCTGTAACTCTTATAAGTTACTGAAACATTTGCTAACAGGGCTGTGCATTATCTGTGAAGATCTTAAATCAGTTTGGTTTTGAACATTCTGTTTCTTGCCCCATGAACTGGCATGAACCCATGAACCTGCAGGATAATATCTCCTGCGTAAGTGCTATAGGAGAGTGTAACCAAATCATCATGCCTAAAACAATGCAGAATTCCTGCATGCCACACAACGGCAAATGGGCATTTTGGTGGGGAGAAACTTTTTTCCTTTTAGGCTTTCAGAGCACTGGATGGTGGGGAGAAGTTCTGCTGATGGTGAAGGTGGAGCAGAGCTAGGATGGAGGTGGAGATGCTGAAGTTAACAGACCTAATAGCTGCTCAGCTGTGAGAGGGACAGCTGGCAACCTCTAGCCATGTCCCTTTTTAGCAAAAAGCCCATAATGTAACAACCAGCAACGTTGGTGTTGATAGATAAATCCATTGTATGTAACAGAGCCTGGCAGACAGCAGACATTTAGGGAGCCATTTCTCAGCATTTCTATAAAATTGCTTGGAATATGCCATTTGCCATGTGGACTTGACAATCTTTCACAACACGGTTCTGTATAGCAGCCGCTGGAAGCCAAATCCAAATACCATGCGGTATTGCTTCACACTTGTGCTCTTGGCTCCCAGCAGCTGCTAGAGCGTCTGGCCCACAGTACCCACTTGGGCAGCGTCAATCCTCTCCTTAGCCTCTGCCCTTCTCCCAACCCTCCAAATAGTCAAACTTTTTGTATCTTTGATTAATTAGGCCGAAGATTAGCCTGCTACTCTTTATATTCTGACCTCTGACACAGGCTGTTTAATAACTTTTATCAAAATGTAAGTAATTTTATTGTTTATCTTTATTATAAAAGTAGTGTCTGCTTGTAACATATATGTAATAAAAAATACATGTTAGAATCCCTCTTAATTCCATAACTCAGAGATTACTAATACTAACGTATTTGCCTAGATTTTTCTAGATTTTTCCCCATATTTATAAACTCAAAAGTAATTGTTTTTCACAACAATGTAAATCAACTATACTCCAATTTTTTTAAAAAGTGATTGTTTTTTAAATAAAAGTGGGATTGGACTATATAGTTTCATGTAAACTGGATTTTTTAAAATATATTTTCATATTAGTAAGTATACATCATTAGTTTTCATTACTGTGCAGTATTTGTGTGTTTATATGGAATATTTATTATACTTTATTTTCAGTTCCCATTGGTGGATATCTAGATTCCTTCCATATTTTCCCCCAAACAAACATTTTTTTCAGCTTTGTCCACTTAAATTCCTAGAACTAGAATCGTTGGGAAATGCGCACAGTTGATACATAGTGGCAAAACACCCTGAGCAAAGCTAAACCGATTTACACTCACCAGCAATGTGTGGGAGTGCTGGCCCCTCCATTCCTTCATCCCAGTGGATATTAAAACCTTGTAAATCTTTTCAGTGTGATAGATTAATTTTATTGATTTGATTACTAGTGAAAACTTTTTCATAATTTATTTTTCATTTGTAATTCTTTTTTCATGACATTTATATCCCATCCTTTATCACTGTATCATCTTTCTTTCCTCCCTGCCATGTGTGTGGGAAGGGGAGGAAAGAATATATAAAAGTCTAGAAGAATATGTGATAAAATGATAACTTCAGGTATCTCTGGATGTTAGACTTATGATGGCTTTTCTTTTTTTCTTATTTATATTATCTAGTTTTTCAGAAAGAACACATATTATGTATGTAATAAAAAACTGGCCAAATATGTACAGCTCTGGAATGTGTTTCTGCAGACATATGGTGCTTTCTACACTGATCATTCTGGTTCAGAAGCTATTTTCTAAGCAGCAAAATACCAGAGCTCTAAAAAAATGCATTGAAATGGCCTCATGCAGCTCAAAGTTTAAAATAAAAAACACCATAAAATGTCACTTAAAACACTTTGGCGGTTTCTCAAAAAGTTAAACACAAATTTAACATACGACCCAGCAGTTCCACTTGTAGCTATCTACCCAAGAGAAGTGAAAACCTAGGTCCATGAATAGGAACACAAATGTTCATAGCAGCATTATTCATAACAGTCAGAGAGTGGAAACAATCCAACTGTCCATCAACTGGTGAATGGACACACAAAATGAGGCATATCCATACACTGCAATATTAGTCAGCAATAAAAAGGAACAAAGTACCAACATAAAAACCTCAAAACATAGGCTCAATGAAAAAAGGCAAAAGTAAAAGATCACATATTACATCCAGAAATGTTCAGAAAAGACAGTTTATAGAGGCAGGGAGTAGATTAGTGGCTGTCTGGGAGCTAGACTGGGGATGGGAGTGGGGAAGGGGCACAAGAAGCCTCTTTGGGGTGAAGGGGATGTACTAAGCTGGATTGTAGATGGTGGGTGCACAGCTCTGAATATTCTGAAAAGCACTGTCCACTAAGCATGGTTGACTCTTATGGTGTGTAATTATATCTCAATAAAGATTTTTTTAAAAGAATCTAAAATATATCATTTAAAATAAACTTACAGGGGAAATCTTTTTCTAAAAGTTAAATTCACAACTCGATTTCGGAAATTTGTCTTTGCAATTTTGTCTTCCCCATGAGTCTTTTCAATTCTCTCACATCAATATCTGATACATTTTAGAATCTTCCCTTATTTTGTGGATATGAAAACAGGCTTAATGATAAATTTCAATCCCTTCCCCCTGTCTGTGGTTGGTCATCTGAAGTCTGGCCTCAACCTGCAGAGAGCCACGATTCTGGATGTGGGCACTGAGAAATGTTGCTGAGGAAACCCTGGACTGTGTCAGAGTTCCCAGAAAAAGTCCACAAAGGGAATCCTCAAGGCATAATTTAAGTGTTTCTTGAGTCACCAGAGATACTCTTTGGTTCAGGTCAGACTGAGAGCAGAGGCAGACTCAGTTTGCTTTCAGTTATCATCTGGCCAGGTCTATCCGGGTGCTTTGTTTAAACAAACATACTTGCTGATAACTTCCAGGGTGTCCATTTTTACTGCAACTGACCCAGAGGGCTACCCCTCTTTTCCCCTCACAAGATCCGACTTTTCCCAAATGCTTTTGTGCAGGAGGAAGTCTGCCGCATTTTTCAGGGGGCATAGATATCCGTGCATCTTTATCAGTTGCGAATCCGTGGCAGAATTCAATGATCATTTGTTATTGTTCAGTACTGGTGTGGTATATAGACTGCTGTCTCTCCCTAGTATCCATTCCTCCTGTTTCCTTTTAGTACCAGAACCCCTGAGCTTCTGCAGGCAACATGTTGCCCAGCTTCCCTCCCTGTGGATGTGTGGTAGAGTGTTCACCATGCAGAAGTGATGTGTGCGTCCCTGCATCTCTGCCCTTCCCACAGGCTGGAACGGTAACACAAGACAGCACCATGGGGGCAGTGGAGCAACAACACAGATGGGAGCCAGGACTCTGAATGACTGAGTTGAGCAGAACCACCTGGACCCCCTTCCTACCTCTGGATTGATGGACATAGGACAGAAATAAACTTTTTAAAAAAATTTCATTTCAGCAGCTTAACCTATTCCCTAATTAAAATCCTGGGTCAGCCATCAGAAGGCCTGTATCCTAGTCCCACTTCTGCTTCTGTGAGGCTTTTGGTAAATCATGTTACGTTCCTGAGCTTTAGTTTTTGCATCTTAAAATTAAGGGGAGGAATTTCCCTGGTGGTGCAGTGGTTAAGAACCCGCCTGCCAATGCAGGGGACATGGGTTTGAGCCCTGGTCCAGGAAGATCCCACATGCTGTGGAGCAAATAAGCCTGTGCACCACAACTGCTAAGGCTGTGTGGCACAACTACTGAAGCCCGCGCGCAGCAACGAAGACCCAATGCAGCCAAAAATAAAAAATAAATAAGTAAATAAATAAATTTATTTTAAAAAAAATTAAGGGGAATCCTAACACTTTTGTGTGCCTTAGACTCCTTTGGCAAAGTGGTAAAGAAAACCGAGAGGGCCCTTCTCAGAACAATGTTTTTAAATGCATAAAATAAAATAAAATACATGAGCTTACCAAAGAAACTAATTATACTGAAGTACAGTTATAATCACAGACCCCTTGGGAGTCTGTGGACCCCAGTTAAGGACACCTACATGACCTCTAAATTTCCACCCTCATCAAAACACCTAGGAGTTTATGGTTCTATTTAATGCACAAGAGATAAAAAATTAGCAAGTCTACTTGTATTGTTTATATGTTTATTTTCTGTATATTGTGACGTTTTGACATCTTAAAAGCCTTTCTGGGTGGGGAGAGATTTTCTGCCCCCATCTCCGGGGGCTAGCCAATTTTAACCCGTCCAGAGCTCACCTCCTCCATCTGGCCCGTGTACCCCAGGAGGAAATATTCCTCTGCCTTAATCATCTCAGCACCAGGGACCAGACAACTAAGCACGACCCCTGTAGCTTAGGGTCTGCTGAAGTTGTTCACACCAGCCAATCCTGAACTGTTTACCCCGCCCTGCCATGCCTTTTCCACGGGAACTCCAATACAGACTGCGGTCTAAGCTCTCCCTCTGCCTCTTCTGCCTCCTGACCAACCAGTAGTGCCTTTGCTTCCCCATGCGGCCCTGGGTGGTTCTCTAGGACCTATGAGTATAATACACTCTTTTCCTGAGCCCCTCCTCTGTCTCCTCGTGTGGCCACACCTGACTGACCATCACGTAAAAGAACACAGAGCACTGCCTTTGTGGCCTGGAAGTGTTCATCGTCTTCCAGATGTGCTAGTATCTCATGTAGAAATAACATTCCCACTTGTACATGTCTGACCTGTTAGAGACATCGTTGAAAAAAGAAAGCCTCCTAAAACCAACAGTTATAGTTTGTCTTAAGGATTCAGTTGTAGCATCTTGTTTCCTAGTTCATTAAAAATAAAGCTATAAAGAAAAGGCCTAGAATGAAGTAATAAATTTGCTCTCCAAAATAGATATTCAAGAGTGAGTCCCCATCACTCTTTTATTGTAGCTTCTTCAAACTGAGACGGCTTTTTGCATCACTAGGATCTAGCCTCTCTACTCAGACACCTACAGAGCACTGCTCTGGAGGCTCATTGAAGATGAGGGAAGTACTGACATGAGAGTACTGACAGTAACATAGTCTGGAAACTGGTCACCTTCCATTCCAACTGGTGCCTTCAGGGTTAAATTTTTACATTGGCTCTTTCATCTTTACCAAAAATATGTTTGGATAGATTGACATGGCCTCGGTGTTTTAAATATTCTCAGATGTTCTGCTTTTTGCTAGGTCTTACCTCGAACAAAGACGTAAGCGCTGTATTGTTCATAATATTCTCCCATTCGTACATGGATTGTATAGAGACCTTCATCTTCCTTGTTGAGATGAGAAAATGTTAGTGTTGCCCGATCGCCACTCCAGTGTGTTTGCACCCATTTTGATGGAGAAACAGGAGCCCCTGGGGAACAAAAGTAAGCAAATTAACTGATTTCTTTCTCTGTTACTCTCTTCTTCCTCCTTCCCCTCCACTCTTCCCTCCCCCCAATTCTCTCTCTCTCTCTCTCTCTCTCTCTTTATTCCTCTTCTTCTATATTGAAAGCTATCTGAATATTAGAGGACGTCTGTAGGGCTTTGAGTCATTCTGCCATGTTTATATTGGTTAAAATGTTAGAGCAGAAGTGAGGGGACCAGGGCCAGATACATAATCTGCAGGTCCCAGTGCAAAATGAAATTACAAGGCCCCTTGCTCAAAAAGCAGAGGAAAAAAACACAGTCAAGGTACTAAAATATAAGGCTTTGTCCTCTAAAAATAGTTTATTACTTATAAAACATATTAGGGTAATACAAATTGCAAAAACTAATATTTTCATGCCATAATTTTACATACAAAAATAATACTTTATTAATGTGATACGCTGATTGATAATACGATATTTTTTACTTACTTTTCTGCAAATTCAGTTATTTTTAGTAACTTCATTCTAAATTGATATAACTGAAAGCAACATCAGTCACTCTTTGCAAATGCAAGATCATAAATTAGTTTTGATTTTTTTTATTTTAAGAAGGATCTTTCTGCTGATGAAACTATTAATGCAGCTGTTAAGAGTATTACATAGTCATAGTAATATACAGCTTTATACGTTATAGTATCATATGGTTATGGTGCTATAAAGTTAACATTGGGTTAATCTTATGATAAACTATTTCAAAATATAAATTTTAGTACTCTAGAGCTGACGATTCTTTTTTTTTTTTTAAACATCTTTATTGGAGTATAATTGCTTTACAATGGTGTGTTAGTTTCTGCTTTATAACAAAGTGAATCAGAGCTGACAATTCTTGAGGAACAATTTTTTCTAAAAAGATTTAACTCTTTATACAAATAGTTTCATGTAAGTCTGAATTTAATTTTAAATGTAAATTTACATAATTGCATCCTAATGTTTTCTCTTACAAGTCCTGTAACTTGTGGTCATACAAGAAACTGAAAATGACTTCATGATTTGTATATAATTCAAATGCCTGTTTATGCATTCTCTCACTGTATCTTTGATTATGAGGAAATTTTAATTTAAAAATTATCTTTCTTGTTAATAACTGCTTCATCTAAAGTTTCGTATGAAAATAGTATTCTTTTTCATTGAATGTGACAATCTTTAAACTTAATTTTTATTTCCAAGCCTGTGAATGTTTGCTTTGCAATGTTGTGGCAGTTTTCATAACCAGAGAGTCTAAACTCTGAAGAATACTAACTGCCTTATGTGCCTTACTGCAATGTCTATGTACATGCTTTTATTTTATAATACCTTACAGACAAAGTTTACTGCGTGATTGCTGGCAGTTCCTGTCACGGTGCTCAGGCGAGGAAGCTCATATCTGTGCAGATCCCACAAATACGCATTCTGGGGGCGGACGGGCAATCTCGGCTCCCACGGTGGGCGCCCACACTGCCCCACGTGGGACCCCTCCTCTCCTCTAGGGCCACGCCGTCCAGCAATGTTGCTGCTGCTGCTGCCGTGACTGGTTTCACTCTGGACCCAGGTCCTGGTCTCAGCCATGGTCTTGGGATGGCCCAGACTGCCCGGTGCCCACACATGCACTGAAGTTCAGGCCAACTGCATGGTGAGCATGCTGACCACCACCCACCGTGCCTGGGGACCAGTGCGCCTGCTCCATAGTCCCATTGGACTTCACTGGACTCCGCTTTATTTTACCAAATAAAATTAACTTAGAAAATGAATATACATCCACCTTGCAAAATGAGAATACAATTTTTTGTAATCCTTTCCCTATGTTACTTGGTGATAAGAAATTATAATCTCCACAAATATATTGCGAAAGTTCTGCTACTCTGATATATGTGTAAAAGCTTTTGTAACATCCAAAAGGTTATGTCCTCTAACGTTCAGATTCTGCCAGCTCTGATAAAGAGAACTGCAGTCTTATGGACATTCATGCTCTGGGGCCAAGCCTGGGCTGTGACCTTCTGCAAATAAGAACCTAGTGAGAATTCATTAGTAAGGCTCACCATTTCGGTACCACTGGATCTCCGGCTGGAAATGTTTAATTTCAGGAGTGATAACTACACGGCAGCCTAGACTCATCGTCTCGCCTTCTCTCCCGAAAGACACATCAAACTTGTCATCAAAGTGGATCTCAAACTTGGACGCATAACCGTAAGGGGTCACAGCAACTGGGCACAACAAAAACAAACATCAGTAATTTACTTTTTGTCATCAAAGAGACACAAGCATTTTAATAAGCACAGGCAGAAAGCAATCACAACAAACCTATCAAGTGACTTATCTGGGCAAAAATTAAGTCTTATAAAAGAAGTATGTAGCATATTCACATATATCATTATATTGAAATGGAAATTCTGTGTATGGAAATTCTTGCTCCATTGGTCAGATAAGCTAAATGCTTATTTTTACCATTATAATTAATAGAATTGAAAAGGTCAGGTTTAACGCCTTACATAAAATGTAAATGAACACCACATTTAGCTTCGACTTAAATATAGCTGCAATATATGCACATTAAAATGTTAGATTCTGAGTTCATTTAAACTTTACTGCTTGTACTCTTGGAACAAATAGCCATATCGATTTCTCATAAAAATAGAGTTTTTTAGTAAGTGGCTTCAGCTTCTTTGATGATCTGGGTTAAAAAAATACAAGAAATATCAATGGGAGAAAACAAAGTTTAAAATATCATTCTTAGAAATATCTTATTTATAGATTGAGTCAATACCTGCACCATAAACTCTCCTAGGTTTTATTTTCTCTTTTCTCAAAGGAAAGGGCCTGGGAAAATAATGACTATTTTTTGATGGCTTCCTGCATGCCAGGAACTTCACATTTGACATGTCATCTAATCCTTGCAAAAACTCCATGGCATAGTTACTAGTTTTTCCTCTCTTTCAGGTGGGGATATAGAAGTTCACAAATATATATAGCTAACGCAAAGGTTTCAAAGGCATCATGTGTGAAACTGAAATTCAAATGTATAAATGCCCAACTCTAAAACTTAGGCCCTTTTTCTCCTATTTCAATTCTCTTCCTAAGACCTCTTCGAATTAATTTGAAAATGCAAGCTAACATTTATTGAGTTCACCTTGTGCCAAGTATTGTTCCAAGTGTTTAATATCTATCAACTCAATTAAGCCTCATAATAACCCTATCAGGTAAGTACCATTATTATTCCCATGTTATCGATGAGAAAACAGCAGCACAAGGAGACTAAATAACTGCCCATATGCACCCTGCAGACCCAGGATTTACACTGGCAGGCTGTTTCCAGAGCCTGTGCTCTCAACCAATACATGGGGTTGACTTGACTTTGTGTGTCCCCAGGCAACCACTCACCAACAGGGAAATGACTTCTCTTTGAAGCGTGTGCCCCATCTGCCCCATTTTTATATGATGATGTCCCACTGAGATCAAAACACAAAACAACTTGAACAGATCTTGTTTATTGGGAAGTTGGGCTGGTTCCAAAGCTGCCTCAGGGAGTAGAGATAAGGGTTATAGGGAGGGCCTGGTTTAGGTCAGGGGTTGGCATATCTGTGAGCCAACTCTGGATTGCCTCCTGTTTTGTACCATGAAGAATGGTTTTTAACTTTTTTAATGGCTGAAAAAAATCAAAAGAAGGATAATATTTTGTGACATGGGAGAAGTCATAGGAAATTCAAATTTCAGTGTTCATAAATAAGGTTTTATCTGGATACAGCCATGCTCATTCATCTATCTATTGCCGATGGCTGCTTTTGTGTAACAGTGATAGAGTGGAATAGTTGTGACACAGACCCACACAGCCTAAACTATTTACAATCTAGTCCTTTACAGAAAATGTTTGCCAATCCCTGATTTAGAATATGGTTGGTATTAGAAAGACCAGGTTACAAGTCGCTATTCTACCATTATGCGTGGCCTTGACCCATGATTTAATCTCTCTAAATTGTTTCCTCATCTGCATAGCACAGATAAAAAGGCACCCAGTTCATAAGCTTTGGAGAGCATCAAATGAATCAATGCATATAAAAAATGTCCTAGGGGACTTCCCCGGAGGTTCAGTGGTTAAGACTCTGAGCTTCCACTGCAGGGCGCATGGGTTCGATCCCTGGTCAGGGAATTAAGATCCCACATGCCGCACGGAGCAACCAAAAAAAACAAAACGAAACTGCAAATCACCAGTAAAGCTGGCGGTGCTGTCTCCCAGCTCAAAAAAAAAAAAAAAAAAAGTCCTAGTATGGAGTCTGGCACAACTGATCAATACATATTAACTACTAGAGCAGAACCAAGGGCAGAGAGCTTTATCCATGATATTTACCAGCATATTCCAACCACCTAAACTGGTACCTGGCACACAGTAGATGTTCAATAAATACTAGTTGAATTAATGAATAAGAGCCCTCCGTTCTCTATGTTGGGAACAACTGCACTCAGTTCAGGAGCCAGAGGAGGCTCTGAAAGATTAAGAAGTCAGAGAGGTTAGATTGAGCTGGGCTTTCAGACTTTGGCTTGATGGAGAAGAGGGGAATGGAAAAAACATGGATGATGATATAGAAGTGGGACTGAACAGGATACGTGTGGAGGATTGTAGAACGACTAATAGGCCAATCTTGGGGACATTGGGGATAAGTCATAGTTTCAAATTTCCCAGTTATTCTATCTCAATATAAATCAAATGATAGAGAAGGACATGATTTGGGATGTGTTCCTTCTTCACTCTCACCCATCATCCCCTCTTGCCCAGGTGATTGATACCAATGATTACAATTTAGAATGTTAAAATTAGGAGCCATTCCATGAAGTCGATGGAGTAGGTCATCTATAGACATCAAACTAATTAGTTAGGTGAAAAATTGAACCATGGGAAAGTATTTTCATCAACCATTTTTAAAACTACCACTTATTTTTTAATGTTTGGAAAATAAGAAGTTCGGGCTTGACTACTGTTTTCAGTCTGAACAGTGTAAGCATCCAATTACTTGAACAACAATAAGGATTTTACTTTCATTGCCACCCATGAAAAGAAGTTCTGATATAGATGAAATGATTGAAGTTCACAAATTTACAAATTACTATGGATCAGAATATTGTTAATAATTTGTTATTAAACCACATTTAGACCTCATTAAATTGCATTTCATAAATTAATGTATTTATTCATTCATCATCAAATACTACTCTACATCAGGTGCTGGGGCTTAAAGATAAAAGGTCCAGCCTTGCCTTCAAGTGTCTCATGGGTCAGTGGGAGAGAACAGTTAACAGTGTCCAGTGAGATAGATGCTCTTATGAAGGTGCCACAGCTTCACTGGGGGCACCGAACCCTGAGTGGGTGGGGCCTGGGGTGGCAGTGGGGTCAGACATGGATTTCTCAAGGAGTTGATACTGAACTAGATATTTAAAAATGAGTAAAACTGCTCTGATATAGTCCAGACTGTGTGTGTGTGTGCGTCTGTGTGTGTGTGTGTGTGTGTGCGTGGTTAAATCAATCTGCACAGATTTGTGTAATGATCTTTCTCAATTTAAACACAGAAAGACTTAAAAGCATTTTAAATGCTTTTAAGACTTAAAACCATTTTTAGCCTGTCACATCTGGGCATTTATAAAACCAGAACAAAGCAATTATATGCAGAAAGAGAATATAGTAACCAAAGAATCTGAAAAAATAAAACCAATCACAGGTAGTATTACACACATACTAGCATATATTATAATATAGACTATGTATTTATTTCGGCATTATGGAACAGCTTATTATGCAGTATTGTACAGAGATGACACAGCAAATATACTTTTAAACTTACAGCTGAGGGGCAAGGTGGAGGCCCCCGCATGGAAGCGAGTCTCATCAAACTCTCCCTTATATCCTAGAAGAGAAAGCAGAAAAGCATGCCAACTGTTCCTTGACTTTATTTTTTAGCAGTGAGAATAATTTTTTTTTAAATACACTTTGAATAAAACAAGTTCAGCAAACCTACTCTTTACCACAACCGAAGCATATGCTGAAAGCTCTCCTTTAACATTCATCGCCGAGGCCCGGTACTGAGCGGTGTCTTCAAAATCACATCTGAAAGAACGGATGGAAATGAGTGCCCAGTGCAGTGACACTCCTGGTACAGTCGCCACTCAGCATCCGTGAGGGATTGGTTCCAGGACCCCCATGGGTACTAAAATCCGTGGATGCTCAAGTCCCTGAAGTAAAATGGTGTAAAATAGTCGGCCCTCAGTATCTGCGGGTTCCGCCTCCTCAGACACGGAAGGCCGATGTAATTGCTAGCTGTTTCATCAAGGATCTCTGCTAACAAGCCACAGGGCAAATCACTGACTCCCTCAGGGTGGGTTTCAGTCTGGGGGGCTACAGGGTGATGAAAAGACAAAGAAATAGCCTCTCCTTATAGACGCCCACAGACTCCCTGAGCCACAAAACGGATCCCGGTTAGTCTAATGTGCTCTAGCCTCAAAGTACAAATAAGTTGTTTAACTTTCAATTCTGCTAAGGTTCAGGCCCACAGAACAACACAAGAAGTGCCATTTGGAAGTTCCTCTAAGTTATAATGCAGAAATTGGGATGCTGTTAATGGAGTAGAGAGAGAAGGATCTCACACAGAGATGAACAGGCTAAGATTTCAAAGAAGGCTGTTCTGTGTCTTATCACTGCCAGTGTTCGTGTTCTTCATTGTTCCTCTGGGTTTAGTTTCATTTGCAATATCTTAATTCTTGTTGAAATCTACAGACATCAATAGAACCCCAGGAGGGTCAATACAGTTGCCTTTCCCATAGCTATTTAATTATAAAGCAACCACATAGCTCACTGCCACCTCAGTAGAATCTCCGACTGGCAGAATGGATGTAACTTTAGGAAGGGATCAATGCTTAGCAAAAGCCCCAGAGTCCCAGGGTTCTTTCTGCTTGAAGCCCAGCATCACCTGTGTCAACTGCTCTGACCTGAGAAGGCTATGAATCTCTTGAGATCAGAATGACGTAATTTATTTTTACTTTGACATCTCAGCATGTCATGGTTTTATTTGAACCGAAAATGCTGGCAGCTTGTTTAACTTTTCCATCCACATAACTAGGCTTGGATTTCAAGACCACATTAGGAGACATGATAAACCTTTGAAAACTTGGAAATTTTGATGTGGATTCTGCTTTCAAATTTTGCTTCTGATTTTGCTTTATAAACATCCCAATGTCAGGCTCTGCGTCCACCTACAGGCTGACAGGGTGGGCACATAGTTTCCCACAGTTCCTGGTGAGCTGAAGGAAAGAACAATTTCTCTAAGTACAGCTTACTTTCAATGTCACCCACCCCAAACTTCATTGGCCTTTACTGATTAAAGGCAAAAGTGTATAGTGATGGCATAGATTTGGAACTCTGAAAGGATAACTGAATATAAATGCCTATTTATGTAACTTATTTTCTTACTAATGTCTAAGAAAAACTCTCCAGTATATAAAAGGATAAATAGATACAAATGAATTTTTCCTCGTCGTCTTTGACTAAATTCAAGTAAGATCACTTTGGGAGGTAACGTGGGCTTGGTAAGAGTGTCATGCTTATCGCTCTTTGGTGTGCACCAAGAAGCAACGTATGGGACTGTCCCCCATCCTGATCGCGCTGCATTGGGAGGAAAAGGGGACAGTCGTTAACTGGAGCGCAAATTGCCACCCTAAGCAATTGCTGGGCAACACACACAGACCCTGATGTCTCTTACGCGTTTATCTCCAGAGTGTGCATTCCATATCGGCTTTCGATAATATACTTTCCAGGGTTTGCATGGACGTCTATTGGCACCTGGTTTTTATACCTATGAGACAATGGAAACAAGGTGAAGTAAGTTGAGGTGTAAATAGATTCATGATTAAAAGCAACACACACACAACTGTTGTTCTTGAAGGAACACCCGTAAACACAGCACTGAGGTCGGTAGTGGGGTCTGTTCAATAAATGCAAATAAAACACATTATAAATATTATAAAACTTCTTTTTCTTAACATTAAAACAATGGAATTTTATTTTGATGAAAAATGAGTTTACAATCATTTAGTAAATGAAGAGCAAACACTTCATTTTCCTATCCCATAACTCGAAAAAAATCATTAGTGAATAAATATCTGTGAACAGATTAAGGGTAAGGCAGACTGGATAATAAACCACCTGAAGTTCACACTCCCTGCATGTGACTCACTTGAAAAGGATGAAAACGGCACTGGAGATAACTGATAAGATATGGCCATGGAATCTCATCCTAATCATTCAAATAAGCCCAATGATACTCATTTTTTGCTCATCATGGGCAGCAAACTATACACATTTTACTGAAAGAATACTTTGATAGAAGCACTTATTTAGATTATATTGTGCATCACAATTATTAAAATGGCTTGAACAGTTCCACTTAACCACCATATATAAAGTGCAACTACATAATATTCTACATTTTACCTGGGGTGTGATGAATATCAATCTAGACTGAAAGTACCCTAGCTGCCAATTTCCACCACTTCTGAAAAGATCTAGATGTGTGAAAAAGGACTGTTCCCCCATACAAAGAACCAATTTCACAAACCTACTGGTAAACCAATACATTTATATAACTGGAACCTCAAGATGCTAGAATTGTAGTCATTTGAAAAAACATTCAGGGCTTCCCTGGTGGCTCAGTGGTTGAGAGTCCGCCTGCCGATGCAGGGGACGCGGGTTCGTGCCCCGGTCCGGGAAGATCCCACATGCCGCGGAGCGGCTGGGCCCGTGAGCCATGGCCGCTGAGCCTGCGCGTCCGGAGCCTGTGCTCCGCAGCGGGAGAGGCCACAACAGTGAGGGGCCCGCGTACCGCAAAAAAAACAACCAACCAAACAAGCAAACAAAAAAACCATTCAGCCATCCAACCATTTTAAAAACCATGGTCTTTAAAAAAGTTTACACTGCAATATCCTAAACACTGTTCTGCGCATCTCACAATGAAGAGAGCGGCCTTGCAGTGCAGGATGAGAAGAGCGCAGCGTCATTGTGAAGAGCAGCACGCTATGGTTTCCAGGAACATCACCATCACAGCATCGGATTCTGTGCGTCAGGATCGAGGTCATTGCTGCTAGAAGGGGGATGGATAGGGAAACTATCGAGCTCATCCACTTGAGGAGTTGGGTGCATGACCACCAGCTGGTCCTGGGGAATGTCAGCTGCAGCTGCTGCAAGGTTGGTGATAGATTTACTTTTTACACACTGAAAGTCTACACACTGGCTCTTTCCTTCTTCCTTCTCCCAAGACATTCGAATAAAGGGTCTTTGGACATAGTTGTAAATCACTTCTGGGCAGCCCCCAGGCCTTTTCTTTTACTTTTTTCTTTGTAGGTTTTATTTTATTATTTTATTTTCTTTTATTCCCAATCCAATCTTCTTAAGACCCCTCTCCGTCAAAACTGATTTGGCCACAACTCTGTTTTCAATGTACTTGAAAAATCTCTATAATTTTGTGCTATAAATAATTTGTGAATATTATTCTCCCATCTGTGGTGGATACTCTTCATCCCAATCAACCACATCATCACCTGTAAGCACCACTATGTGGCATTCACGTTCCCCACTCTGGGCACTAGCTACCATGAGAGGCAGAGTCATTTCTTCCAGGTAAAATTCGAACTGTCTATGGGCACCATCATTTGATAACTCATGCATTAGGGCACTGAGATCTCTACATTTAATAGTACTATATTCAAAAGAGATACAAAGAGAGTCGCATGGTTCTCTCAGTTCAGGAATAGATATGCCATCGGGACAATGGATTATTCCTGTTTTATAGTAATCCAGAATAGCTCGAAACACAGTAGAGCCAATCCCCTCTGCCACCTCATACTCTCCCTTCTCGCTGGGACATGTAGAGTTATGTTCTCTGCCAGACCCAAACATCCTGCCCAGCACTGCGTATGGCTGAACAGTAAAAATGGATGGGTCTACAAAAATTTAGTGTTATCCACTATTAGTGTCACTCGTTCTGACGTTCTTACATTCCGACCTCCTTCTTTTGCATTTTCATACACAAACACCATTTCCCCAGATGTCTTACAGCTACCATCTGAACTTGACTGACTACTGTTTCTGCTGCTGTTCCCAGCACTGCTCCTGGAACCATTTGGAGATGCTTTTTGAGGATGAGGACTGCTTGGACGAGAGGAACTGTGATCTTTTTCACGTTCAACATGATGCTGTCGTGTTGAAGTAACATTTCTAATACAAGGAGTGAGCTGAGATTCTGTTCTTTCGTGAGACGAATCTTGTGATCCACTTGATCTTCGTCTATCTCTTGATCTCTCGTTGAGAGAGATCAAGTCACCATGTAGACTCATTTTGGTGTGGGCAACAACTCCTTTGGCAACATGTGGGGGAGTACTTGAATGTTTATAAAGTTTACGATGTCTACTATTCAATTTCCGATCCCAGTTCTCTGGATCACTGGAGTTACTGTCAAAAGGATGAGGCCATCCTGCCATCCCACTTCAAGCTTCCTCACATTGCTGCTCTGAGAGCACACATGTAGCACCCATAACCTGTAGTCCCCCTTGAGTGTCCAGGCGCAGGCCGGGGCCAGCGACACCTCCGCTTCCTCCCCAACTGGATCCCTCCGGAGGTGTCTGTGGCCGCGGATGCTCTGGCGGCTGCGGCTACGAGAGCCTCCCCAACAGGTTGCAGGCTGGCTCCTAGGCTGCTTCTCGCCTAAAACTTCTTGATGAATGTGCTTTCCTCTCCTCCATTACAAAAATTATGTTCAAGAAGTTGGCCATTCACAGCAATGTGGTTGAATCTTGCGTGTGTAATGTTGAGTGAAAAGAGCCAGACACAAAAGAGTATAATGATTGCTTTTACGTAAAATACAAAACCAGAAAAGACTAATTAATGCTGCTAGAAGTCAGGAGAGTGATCCCCCCGGAGCGGGGCAGGGGGGATTAAGGAGACATCCTGGGTACTGAAATTGTTTGGTTTCTTGATTTAGGTGCTGGCTACCTGCATGTATGCAGTCTACAAAAATTCATCAGAGTTCTACATTTATATGTGATACGCACTTTTTAATGTGCATATGATACTTCAATAGAAGATCTAAAAAAAAAGAAAACAAAAACTTGCCTATTGTTGACACAACAGAGAGGAAGGCTTTGAGTGGTTTTTTTGTTGGCTGTCTGTGTAGGATGAAAGCAAAACATTCTTCCCACTAACATTCTTGCATGTTGTTCAAAACCTTGTCATTGCATTGAAAGCTCATTATATTTGTTTTACTCTTTTGTGAGCAAGCATAGCTCTCCTCTTGGAAGAACTTAAAATATCAATCATGAAAGAAAACTACTGACAAATAGGAGCTGAAAGATTCCCTTTCTCTGACTGGCCATCCTTGGTGAAGCCCCTTGAGAGGCTGGCGCTCCATGGAGGGGCCCCTCCTGAGACACTGTCTCCTGAGTCTGCAAGGGGCACCTTCTTCACCACGTCCTCAGGTTCTCAGTAGCTAGTGGCTATGGTGCTGGACCAGGCTTTTCTGCTTAAGCCATTTTCTGTCCCAAAGAGGAGCTGGACTTCATTTGATTCCCTTTAGGACACCCCACTTCACTTGTGCAGACATCGCAAATAACGCTAATAACCATAACGGACACAGAGTTTTTACTGTGAGCCAGGCAAGTGCTTTAAATTCAATCCTCACAACAACCGCACGAGATGGTACTACTTTTAACATAGTAAAGTAGTAGCATTTTCCAGATGAAGAAACCCAGGCATGGAGAGGTTAAGTGTCTTGCCCCGGCTCTCACGGCTAGAACAGCAGATCTGGGATTTGCACCCAGGCAGTCTGGCTCCTGACAACATGGGATGCTTCCACTTTCCAGCTGTTCTCTATTTAGCTGCATTTTATTTCTTCAGATTTCTGGACATGGTTACAAGGAGGTTTTGGAGCAGGGAAAGTTGTGGAAACGGAGAGAAAGAAAGGAAATAATCTTCAGCCAGTCCCTACCTCTTCCCAGCTTGTACACTCATACACTCATACACACACACACACACACACACACACACACACACGTGCACCCTATGTCCCTAAAATGCATCATTTTTTATACTTTAAGAAATGTACCGTTCTCCTTCTCCACCTAGCAAAATCCCAACTCGTCCCTCAAGGCTCTGATCAAATGTCACTTCTTCAATAATCTCTCCCTTGAAATCCCATACAATATCATTCCTGCCTGTCCGCATTGGTGTTACTTGGTTCAAATGGAAATATATAACATTTATCAAATTATGGTTGGACAAGTGTCACTTCTACTAAGGTGTGCGTGCCTTGAAGCTGGGGATTGTGTCTGATCCCTACTTACTTCTATTGCCACTCTCAAGGAAGTAGACATCACAGGCAAATATTAGGCACTCAGTGTTTGCTAAATTGGATTGAAAAGAGTTATTGGGTAACACCATAGATTTAACTGTGCTTCCTGATTTGGGGCCGAAGGAACGGAGTTCTGATAAATCCATCCTTCATGATATGGATAATTTAAAATAAGTGCATGTGAAGAAGGTGTGTTGAGGCTCTTTGTGTCCCGGTTCCCTAGGATGTGAAACGGGAGGGCGGACTGGCTTAGGAATCTCAGCTGTGTAGCAGGTGTAGGGGCACAGCCTTCTGCCCCACCCTTGGGAGCCATCCCTAGCTGTTTCTGACAGCCCAGAAGCAGCCTCAGTTAGCTGTCTCCCCACAGGGCTCCAGGCAGACAGGACTGTTTGATCAGAGATGGCGTGTAAAAAGAAATCTGCGGCTGCTCCTAATCTGGAACATTCCTTGCTTTG